TGCATTCAATTTATTTAAATTAATGGGCATTGTGTATAGTCAGCACTCTCACTCTATTATTACTTCATTCTTTCTCTCACTCTACTACAACTCTTGATGATGATGATGATGTTTTTGTTGTCCATCGCATAGTCATTCATTTCGAAATGAAAATGCATCACATTTTTTTCATTCTTTATTTACAATAAATAATTTTTTTTTTGTATCATGCGATTTACTGGGCTTATTATTCTTATTGTGAAAGTGCGTGAAAAATTTTTTTTTATATTTAAATCTGAGAGGATTATGAGTGGTAAATGGTGGGCAAAAATTAATAGATCGGCGTGAAGTGTAAGTGTGAATTATAATACGTGTTTTGGAACATTTATTAAGGTTAACTTTTAATAGCTGCAAGCTGGTACCTAGGAGCTAATATCTAATAGCTAGCAGCTATTAATTAGAAGCTAGTAGTTATTTATTAGTAGCTATGAGTAGCTGGTAGATGGACATAATATTCTGGATGGGGCTTAGCCACCTTGTGAAATTCTTATCTTCATATCTTAGATTATAATAATAGTTAAAACCAGTGCATACTAACGTAACTGACCCTCAGATAAATTAATTAAATCCAATAAAAATTCCATCAATTTCAAAAATTCCGTTACGATCAAATTCCATTCAAATTCACAAAAATTCTTATTTGATTGCACAAAATTGCATCAATTTAAATCTACTATTATTTTACAATTCCTTTCATTCCCATATTCTTTCTTACGTCTTTCTTCCCTTCCTCATCTCCAATCTCATATTATGTAACATAATCGCATGCACATTAACTTTCAATCCCTTACTTCCAAACACACAATAATATTTACTCTATTCATATTTTGCATTCAAATCGTCTTAAATGCCTGCTTTATGTAATTATTCCCTCTTTTACATAAGAATACACCAGCATCTTTAGCATCCTGTCATATTGCTGAATTTTCTCAGGATTCTAATTGGAAATCAGGGTTCTCAGCACGCACACTTCCTTGTGGATGAATAAAATTGCCTTTTCTTGGTTTCCTATCACATCCATTCATCTACATCTTCTTCCTTTTTCTTACACTGTTTTTGGCCATTCTTACAAGCATTGTTCTTATTTTTCTGAAAAAATTACATTTTTATGCTGCGTTTCTTTGTCAACAAGTAACATCCGGTAAAGGACGGTGTGAAAGCAATGAGAAACAATTGATGTAATTTATATGTTTAACATTATATTTTTTAGGGTTTAATTTTATTAAGTAAAAGAGGAGATGAAATAATTTTTTTCTTATTTATTTGTGAAGCAGTGTGAGAAATTCGTGAACTGGGTGCATTTTTTCAATAAAATTAAAATTTTAACGGTTTTTTGAAATTTGAATTTTTCTTACTCACTTTGAATTTTATTTTCGAGATCAATCAGAATTGGTGCATTATCAAACTCGTTATCAAGTGTCTTAGCAAAGAAATAAGTGGCAAGCATCAATTTAACTTAATTCTTATTCATAACAGATCAAATCTTGCGCAAAATAACAAATTTGAACATCAAACCATGTGATCATCTCAAAAATCATGCTAAAATCACATTTTCAGTGATTCTTTTGAAGAAATTCAATGAAATTTCAACATCAAAACGTCTTTTGGTCAGTTCAGAGGAAGGAAAACTAACCGCCGTGAAGAAATCACATTGTCTTTTGTCTTAAATTTCTCTACATCTTCCTTTTGTTTTCAATCAAGTTTTCGAGACCGAAAATAAAAAGAAAGAGAGCATGTGTAACGTCCGTTGAATCTATATGATGGATATTTAATTTCTTCAAAGAAAACACTTCAATAAAAGTAAAATTTAAATGCCCAGTGCACCATAAAAAAATATATATTTTTCGGTTAAAAGAAAATTTATCCGTTGACAATAACAAAAGAAACTTGTTCCCATATAAAAAATTTATCAAAATACAACATAAAGCACCAAAGTACGTCAGCGAATGTTTCATGTCATGCAGAAAAGAAATTGTAGTTCCAATTGACTGCCTTCACCCTTCACATTAATATTTCTTGTTTCCCTTTAAATTTCCTTTAAGACGCTATGGGAATATGAGTTCTGTATATAATCATAAGTTACCTACCGTGAATCTATACAGTCAAGGTAAATGCAAAGGGAACGAAGAAGAAGTAAAAGAAAAGGAACAAATAAACGACAAAAGGTGGTTTCTTATGAGGAGTTAAATGTACTTAGGGGATCGAATTACCTACAAAATGCACATGAACTTCATTCCTAATTCCTATCTGCATCTTTAAGAAAATATGTTCAAGCTATAACGAATGTCTTAAGACGTTTGCACATTACCTTTTATTGTAACGTACTTTTTCCCTCGTTCAGTAACTTATTGTTTTTTATTTTGTTCCATATGAAGGAATTTTTCATGTCGTAGGAATGAATTTGGCTTTTTTTCCGTAATGAGGGAGTTCGTTTTCGTGTTCCAGATTGTTGGTTTTCCGTCTATGTAAGAAATATTATGGGAATTTTTTCCCAACGGTCATAAGACACAGAAGCGAATAAAAAGATATGAGTAAGAAGATATGGGAATTTTTCGAAAAGTTTGAAGTTTTAAGAAGGGTTTGAAGCGCATTTTTTGTCTTACTTGAATTTAGGAGATTGAGCTATAGAATTGGTGCTTCACTAAGCACTTTATGGTGAACTGTAGCGATTTTAGAACTGATACCTACAAAGCACTTAAATGACAGTCTGTAGTTCAGCCAGAGTACCATTCACTTTTGATACCCAAAATCAAGTGTTAATGACCCAAAGCTACATAATCTTACAAAAACCTAAATTAATTTTACATAAATTCTTAACTTTTAATCCAATATTCACATCTAGTTGCAAAAACATTTGTTAAACTTCGCTTATAATCTATAATTAAGTCAGTCATCAAGCTATAAACTCTAAAAATAATCCCAATCGCTATTAATCACAATAAAAAATTTATCTAACCTAGATAGCACTCAATCACATATAAAATTCCAGAATTAAAAAACAGACAGGCCGTCAAAAATTCATACAAGCCACAATAAGGCAATTCACTTCATTAAAAATACACAATTCCAAAAAGACGTTATAAAAGAATGTAAAGTGTCACGAAGCATGTAAAGTGTAGTGTACAATTATCACATAACAACAATCAGTTATTGATTTGATGTATTCAAATTATTTATTCCACGCATTTACTCATACCGAACATATACTCGATGTTTATGTCAATCGCATTTTCATTGTCCAATATCAATTAACTAATTGCATCATGTCGCGCTACTACACAAGACAAAAAAAAAAGAACTGGATATGAAAAAAAAAATATTGTGTCTCTGTTGCTTATTTTTTTGTGTATGAATATTTCATTATAAAAATTGTGAATGTTTAATTAAATTAAAGCCTTCGTAAATGGATGGAGATAAGAACAATTGTCATTCGTTTGATCTATTACGGCAATTTTTCAAGCTATGTAAATTAATTAATAGATAAATTCTTCCGATGCGTGCATGTCTCGAGAGGAAGTTACGGAAACTTCTCATCTCAAATTTCACAAGAAGTAAAACCGCGAAATTGAGGAAGTTAAAAAAATAATTTTGTTGCTCTGCTACGGAATTGGATGTGTAGATATTTGTGGCATTAAATGATAAGGAAATGTAATGTATCGTCATGGGAACTGTCCATCGCTTTAATTTATCTTTATTGATTTACCTGGAAATGCCTCTAATATAACACATGCGGTCGTAATTAAACCAATTTCATATGAGCCCTATAAAATTATGTAAATTTAATGTTAAATACCTTACAATAATTCTCAGAAGAGAAATTTAGTTTAATGATTTAGTGCATCTTGTGGGCATCTTTAGAATTAATATAACATTTTGCGAATGTTGAACCCAACAGCTGACTTAATTTAATCACTATGAATTTTATGAGCACTAATACAAATGTGTTAGGGAAGAATTTTGGTTCCTCTGAATGATTGTATATAGTTTTATAGAGAATTTTAAGGCAGTTTGTTTTCAATGGTAACGTTTTGAGTCTAATTGAACTTGCTTTGAACGTTAAATAATTCTGAATCCACTGAATATTACTTACTATGTTTATCTTATTATACTGACTTATATTACTTTGTGCTGAATTCGTTTAATTTGCTCAATCTTGCTGAATCAGCTGAGCAGTGCTGAATATACTGAATAGTTCTGAATTAGCTGAATAGTGCTGAATTAGCTTAATATTGTTGAATTAGATGAATTTGTAAATGTGCTTAATTAGCTGAATACTGCTGAATTAGCTGAAAAGTGTTGAATTATCTGAATTTACTTAAAAGTACTGAGTTAGCTGAATAGTGCTGAATTAGCTTAACAGTTTTGAATTAGATAAATAGTATTGTATTAGCTGAAAATTGCTGATGTAGCTCAATCATACTAAAGTCACTGATCAAGACTGAATCAGTTCAATAAAATGAATTTTTTTGAATAATACTGAATCAGTTGATCAGTTCTAAATTGACTACATATAAAACTCAACTTCGAAATCAAAATTTGACTATAAAATATTTTCTTTTGCAAAAAAAATACCGAAACTTATTTCAAATGCACTTTTTTCTTACCCCTAAAATTTTTACAACTTTCGTATCTGAAACAACAACATTCGGCAGATCCAGGTGTGCAATGAGCACAATAAGTAAAAGAGAGAACCCTTAATAGAAAATTTCTTATTCTTCTAAAAAAATGTGTGTGCATATATTCTGAGGTATAGGGGCACGAGTCAGAAAGAAATATATCGCATATAGCATATATAAAAACCATATCGTCACAGCCACATGGTCATAATAATTTTCAAATACTTTAATATGTGTGTGTGTAAATTCTATTCTTCTAACGATCTTTTCATTTCTCCTCGAAAATAAACTATTTTTCATTCTTTTACTCAAAATATTTTTTATTTCTTCTTTCCCTTTCCACAGGTTTTAATTTCAAGCAACAAAACAAAAAGGAAGAAGAATAGAACCAACAAAGCGGGGAAAAGAGAGACAATGTAAGATCCGAAATTTACTTCAAAAGTATTTTAGGCAGTAGGGGAAGTAGAAAAACCGAAACAAAATTTTTCAAAGAATATACACAAAAAGGAACTTTTTTTGCTCACTCATCATCGTCGTCAACAGAGCGAAAAGAAATAGAGGGAGATAATAGACTAGTAAAATAAAATAAAAATAGTATTTGAGATCTACAAAGTTGGGACCAATAGACGGTGTTGTTTTCTCATGAAAAAAAAATATTTATTTTATTTTTCTCTTTCTCTCTCCTTCTCCTCACAGACGACAACAAAGCAACTACAAATAAAAATTCTCTCTCACGCATATATACAGAAACATATAGCAATATAATATATTCTCCAAAGGCAAAGAGTTTCAAAGAGAAGAATATTGAGTGGAAAAAGCAAAAAAGTAGAGGGGAGAACGTTCCCTTCTTATGATGTCATCAGCCGAGGAGGATAATTCAGATTGTTTCAGTAGTTTGTTTGGAGACGACGACAAGTTAGGATTACTAAAGCAACATAAAGAACAATTGAAACGAAATCGACAACGCGTAGACGCTGGCGAACCGAGAAACTCTTATTCGTCTATACCAAATTTTAGTTCGCGTTCGTCACTAATGAGTGGCAGTTTGTACGGGGCTATTTTTAGCCAACAATCACAAAATTTCGGTGGTTTATTTCCAACGAATTATGCACCAGCAAAGATGCTTAATGAATTGCTTGGACGACAAGTTAAGCAGGCACAAGATGCTGCGACAAATCCAAATGATGTGCTAAATCAAATTGAATCAGCATCAAATAATAATAATAGTGTTAAAATGGATTTTGATAGTGTACAATCACATAATTCGGACGGTGCACAATCGCCAACACAACAATCGGCAAACGATCTCGCCCATCACATGTTGAGAAATATTTTACAAGGAAAGAAAGATTTATTGGCACTCGATCAAGAGTTACGACAAGTAGCAGCAGGCGTTGGAAGTGATCGTCATTCGCCCGATTCAAATCAAAATACAATAATGAATAGTAAGACAAGCAACATATTGAACAATAATAATAATTTGATGAATAATAATAATAATAATAATAATAATAATAATAATTATGATGTGACCAAAAGTGATAATGTTAATGGATCAATAGACAGTGATCAAAATAGTGATGTGACAATTAACAATTCTTCAAATAATAATGTGAATAATAATAATAATGTGAATAATAAATTATCGACCAGTGAAAAGGATTTAAAGAAAATTAATTTAAATTCAGGAAGTGATAATGACATGAATGGCACTTCCAATGATGGTAAAAAAGACGAAGTGAATGAAATTATTGACGATGATATGATTGTGAATTCATTAGCTGATGGTAGTAGCTCACTGCCATCGCCAAGTTCTGTGAATAATGTTAAACTAAAGGAGGAATTGATGGATGGTGATTTAGACAAAGATCTATGTCGATCACCATCACCATCACCATCAGCATCAAACAAGAGTGAACATGGAAATGCATTGGAATTAAAAAGAGCTCGCGTTGAGAATATTGTCTCAACAATGCATTCGAGTCCGGCACTTGGTTCACAAGGATCGATACAACAGCCAATTGTTAATGGCTGTAAAAAGCGAAAACTTTATCATCCACAACAACATGATAATAGTGCTGTCGAGCGTTATGGACTCTCATTGGGATTAAATTTACATAATCTCATGTTGAACGATGACGATGAAGATGAGGAAATGGATACAAGTATTGTACAGAAGCGACACGAGAAAAATATTCTAAAATCACAATTGCGTTCGATGCAAGAACAACTAGCTGAAATGCAACAAAAATATGTACAATTGTGTAATCGTATGGAACAAACATCAGAATCAACAGAGGATATCGATGATGGAACTAGTGATCTCGTCGATGACGATTTAATGCGAGATAATTCAATTGAGAAACGATCACCATCAATGAATAGTGTCCAACAGCAAAGAACACCGAGTGCATCGCCAATTAAGGATCTATCTGGAAAGCAGCAAGTAAGTCACGCTCAAAATGTCTTAAATCAAATGATGAGTAAAATGATGTCGGCTAAGTTGCACCATCCATCAATGCCATTTAATGGAACTCATCCGCTATTGCAGCACATGCAACAGCAAAATGCAGGCAGTGAACATGTCGGACATGTACAACATCCAGCATTCAGTAATGCTGCTGCCATGTATTTGAGTCAAAAATTATTGATGGAACAGGAAGCTAGAATTGCTAAGGAAGTTGAAGAACGTCAACAACTTCAGTTGCAGCAACAACAACAACAAATGCAAAAGCAACAGCAAGAAATGCAAAAGCAACAACAAGAACAGCAACAAAAAGCCCAACAAGAAATGATTGCTCGCGAACAGCAAGCACAAAATATGCATTCAATGCATCAGCAACAAATTGTTAATCATACACCAAATAATATTCCACCATTAAAAACTTCTCCACAGCAACAATCGAATGGAGCTGGTAAGCCAAATGTTCCTTCCGATCTTAGTGATCGTCTTTCAATGATGCGTGTTAATGCATTAGCATCGACAGCCAACTCAATTGGACCCGTAACAGGAGCTGATTTGGAAGGACTTGCAGATATTCTTAAGTCGGAAATTAATTCATCATTGTCAGCACTCGTGGACACAATTGTATCACGTTTCGTACATCAACGACGTATTATGACAAAACAATCGGAAGCAGCAGCACAAGCCGCAGAGCAACTGAACAAAGATTTAATGATGGCATCACAGATTCTCGATCGTAAGTCACCACGTACAAAGTCGAGTGGAACAGATCGTCCAAATGGTAACAACAATGGCAATGGAAGTGGCGGAAATGTAAACTCACAATCAGGTAATAATGGAAATAATAATAGCACAACTAACACTAGTAGTAATAATACTAACCAAAACCATCATATGGTATCACAAGGTGCCATGAATCAGATGCAACATCATTTAGCCCAATCGATGCTCAACCAGCAAATGGTATCGAATGGTGGCAATAGTAGTAATAATAATAACAATAATAATTTGAATAATAATAATAACAGTAATAATAATTCACCTGCTAATATCCAACAAGCTCAAATGCAACGTCATGCAAATGGCACCGCATTTCCGCCACTTGGTCAGCACTTGGCTGGACCCCCGCCAATGGTTGCCAATGGTCCAGATCCAAATAGTCTCAATAGTCTCACGCAAATGCAATCGCAAATGCAATCACAAATGAATCCATTAAATTTACCATCTCATGTACGTCCTTCTCCAACAGCTGGCATGTTTCAAGGTCCACCAAAAGTAAACGGACCCCAAATGAATTCCGTTGCAGCAGCAGCCCTATACAATTCAATATCGGCAATGAATGGTGCACAACCAAATGGAAATCCTTTCTGTATGCCTGAGCCACCACGTGAGGGAATTAATGAGCAAAATGAAGCACTAAGTCTTGTTGTGACACCGAAGAAGAAGCGCCATAAGGTGACTGATACGAGAATTACACCGCGTACTGTTTCAAGAATTCTTGCGCAAGATGCACTCGCTGCAGCCCAACAAAATCACCTCGAGCAGAGACAAGATCAACAGAATCAGAATTCAAATTCATCGCAGCAGCAGCAACAACAACAGCAAATGAATGGATCGAATGGACAGAATAATCAATTAATGCAAAATGGTAACAAGTCATTTGGCTCAACAACTCCAATAAATTTACCTTCAAGCATACCATCAGAAACACCATCACCGCGTGGTAATTATCATCATTCTGCTCCACCATCGATGATGCCTGTCTCATTGCCAACATCTGTAGCAATTCCAAATCCATCACTGCATGAATCGCAAGTATTTTCACCTTATAGTCCGTTCTTTAATCCTCATGGTCCACATGGTCCACAATCGACATCGATTCATCATCACATGCACATGTCATCGTCTCCACCTGGCATGGGCTCATTGATGGATCCTCGCGATTCACCGCCATTACCTCATCCACCAACGATGCTTCATCCAGCCCTCTTGGCAGCTGCTCATCACGGTGCTTCACCTGACTATGGACACATTCGTGCCGCTATGGATGCAAATGATCGTAATTCAGATTGCAATAGTGCTGATATCTCGTACGATGGAATGCAACCATCGATATCATTCTCGAATGCATTTTTGAAAACTTTAAAGTAAGTTTCATCTTTATTTTTTTATTCAATAATGAATTAGCATTAGGGTTCTCAGCTATGGGAAAGCAAACATTCTTTATGATATAATATTACCGTCTTCTATGCCAACACTTTATTTATTATTTCCTTTCTATCACGTTTTATTGAACGTTTTTCGCTTTTAAGTGTTTTTCAATTATTTAGAAAATCCGTTTTATTCGACACTATACTGATTTATATTCTACACGCGATCTTATTGCATAAAAAGTAGTTGTACAAGAATTATTGAGGAAGCAGTTTTTGATTTGCGAATAAGTTGGGGTTTGAAGAAAAAAAATTCTTCACCTCGAGTTTTAGACTTGAAAATTCTCATTCAATATAGATTTTTGTGACAAAATTGATAGATTTCCTTAAATGTCAGCCCGGAGCATAGAAGAATAACGTAAAATCCAGTTGAATTATGCATAGTAAAAATTCTAACCTATAACTTAAAAATAAAGTAAATCAAAGCCGCATAGCACTCAAAATGCAATTCCCTTATTCTTTCAAGAATCAGCTAATTAAGCCTTTATCCACATCGCCTCAAACGATGGCGTGTCTTCATTTTTAATTCATAGAAAATGCACTTGAGTGTATTCACATACTCCTATTGTATATAATGACACATAATGGTTTTGTGGGGTTCTCAGGACGGTGGGATGTGCATAAAGAAACCTTAAATGACTTGAAGTTATATGAAGGTGAAATTTACATGTTTGTTAAGTTCATTTAAATCCGATATTTACAATTGAATTAGTAAAATGAAATTAAAATTTATCTAACCTTAAATCCTCAATCTTTTTTTCCATTCAATCAAGCAGCAGTAAACAGAAACAAGATCAAAATACAGATCAATTTTCAATGACGACAATCCATTCGGCGACATTAACACCAATGCACTTGCGAAAAGCTAAATTAATGTTCTTCTGGGTTCGTTATCCAAGTTCAGCAGTGCTGAAGATGTACTTTCCAGATATCAAATTTAACAAGAATAATACAGCTCAGTTGGTCAAATGGTTCTCCAACTTCAGGTAAGCTAGTTTTTACTTTGTTGCGTGCTTGCAAAAAAAAAACAATTATTAATTGCTGTCTCATTTGCGAATTTGAAACTTTTCATGCCAACGTCACGAAAATGCGTGTCGCAGTATTGGAATAATGAATTTTTATTTATTCGAAAATAATTAAGGGGTAATTATGTCATTTGGAATGACAGGATAAATTGGGTTTTCAAAGGGGACTTTTTAGGATTTTCTTCCTGAGTCATGAAGTTAAGTTCTGCAGAGAACTTTTTAACACTTGCTTAGGAACAAAAAATCAGAGCGAACTTTACAAAATTAAATCAAATTTTCCCGTCAATCGCACAATAAACCATCACAGAAACTTAATTAACCAGAACATAGAGATAAAAATATTCTGATTCTGTCAATTTCATTAGATTCAAAAAGGGATGACTTTTTGTGGGCTGTTATCAAAATCCAATTTCAATGCGCGAATTCTTTTTTAAATTAAATAATCTCATCAGCAGAAAAAAAATGTTTGTGGTGACAAAACTACCCAAAAAAAGCAGAATTTCTTCGATAACGAGCCTGAAAAAATTTCACGCGAGACTAAAAATTCGATCATAAATCGATTTAAATGAAAATCGCCTCTTTTTTTATAAGCTTCACAGCTGAAATGCATTCAAACAGAATGCAATTTTTTGTCATCTCATTGGCGTCAGCGATTTGAATGCATTTTTAATTTGAAGCTCTCTTCTCGTCGCCAATTTTATTTTTTTTTTTTGTGTATCAAATGCTCGAATATATAAAAAATAATTGTAAAAAAAAGGAACTGCAAAAATAGCGAGAGTGTTGTTGTCCACCCTCCCGGAACACACACAAAAAAATATCTAAAAATTTTATGCATTTTTTTTTGTGCTGTGTGTTCGACTGCAATTTTATGAGATGTTTAAAATAAAAAGCTGAACAAAATTGCATCTCGCACATGGGAAATGATGAACACAATTCCGAATTGTGATGTTTGATTATCCCATTGTTATTTTATCATCATTCGCGCCTTGTGGATTTATAATAAAAATATATTCTTGCATTTTGGCATTCGCATTTTTGTAACTAGATGCTTATAAGTCCTAAAGCCAAAATATCACAAAACTGTCACCAAAATTGGAACTTACTTAAGTTAAGGCTCTCTATATCAATTCAATGTACCTCGCCTTAATTTCGAGATTCTGAATTGAATTAACCTAGTTTTAATGTTATAACAAGCAAATAAGCTTTCGAGCTTGACTAGATATTCGCTAGGATCTATTATAAACTATAGGTTTAAAAGATTAGGGTACAATAGATTCTATACCAGTTAAACCACAGTACCTGCAGCTCAAAAAAGCCATCTCTTTAGTCAATCCGCCACTGCAGCTTATAAAAATTAAGCATTGATAATACGACAATTGTAGGTGCTGAATAGCGAAGAATTTATTGCGAAAACTATTCAAGAATGCTCATTAAAAAAATAATTAAGCCTCTTTTTCTGAAAAATTGCCTTGACTCTTTGATTCTATCAAAGCTTTCCTAATGAGCTCTAATTTAAATGCTGCATAATAAGCTTCGCAATAAAAATTATCCACAACCCAATAAATTTCAATTCTTTACATTACAAAGCATCAAGAAAAATCACAAAGTGCATTTTCACATTTATTTTAATTAGAGAAACTTCAATTATTGCACCTTCAGCCTACATACTTGAGATACTTTCAAAGGCTTTCAATAAGCACCAGTTTTTCGCTCATTAATTAATTCAAAAATAAAGCAAAACATTATTTTCTTATCACAAAAGAGCTTGTGTGCTGGTATAAAGTATATAAAAATATATAAATTAGTGAAATATACCGGTTTAAATGTTGAAACATCTGTTCAAGCTTAAGAAATTTCATTTTCTGAGGGTTGAGATAACAAACAATAGTTCACAATACAGTCGAAAATGAATACACGCCTAGAAGTGTGTAGACTGAATGTCTTATGACTTTTTTCTGTTTCTTAAAGAAATAGTTTTTTGGCGCGAAAAATGATTTAATTCACATGCAGGAATTTTTTTCTGATCTTTGACATAAAAAAAATCTAAATTCACTTGATATTATCGATAATGAATAATTTAAGATCATTTGCAATTGAAATTGACAAAGATCTTGAAAGAAAATTTAAAGAGACAAACAATAAAAAATTTAGGGGTGAATGAAAAAGTCCGTTAGAATTTTTTTTTTGTTTCTTCCCTTATTTACTAGCTTACATACCTTTAATACCGTACATTAAATTCGTGAGAAATATCAATTTTGTTTCCTTCTCATTGGGAAGCTTATTCCTTTCTTAATACAAACAATGAACGCTATTAAATGTCTTGAGAAGATAAATAAGAAAAGAAAAATCAGATGATTATTGAAACTAGTTGTATGTGTTGTTATGTAACGGTTTTTTGGGTATAGTGACTTCAACAAGGGTTTAATTGGTTACATTCATTAGTTATCTTGATTTTTTGAGCATTTAAAATTTTGAAAATGATTATTTTTGTTTAATTTATATTTTTATGAAGCTAGCGACACTGAATTAATATAAAACCTTTGCAACAGTTCCATCACAACCTAAACCTTTTCTATAAGCTCTACATAACCTCAAACATTATCCAATTAAGCCTCAAATAATCCAATCAAAACTTCCATTCTTGCCACTCATATTATGAACGTTATTCACTCTTTAACACCGTCAACATAGCGCACTATAAAACTACTAGAAATGTGTAATAACTGACACTCTTTTAACACATAAAACCGTATACATAAGTAGCTGTAATGATCTAATGGAGGTGTTTTTCTACCACTTGATGTCAAGTGATATTTTTTTACACTATAAAGCTCAAAGTGTCATAAGTTGCAGTTAGTTTTAATTGCGATAATGATGGAAATATATGAAGATCTCTCAAAGGGAATTCAACTCAGATATTTTAAGAGAAATTCCTAAAGTTTTATGGTCCCGAAGCTGAGGAAAACCAATTATGGAAATGCATTTTTAAAATCTTCAGAGAATTTCCTTCCGTGATTAATTCACACCTTTACATAATTACCGAGGTGTTACCAATTAATAATTATATACACAGCGAAAAAATAATATTTAACTTTCATTCTAAAATTTTTCTATATTTTTATTTTTGAAAACAAAATTTTGCAGAAATCACGGCAAAAATTTGCAACTTGAAGGAAACAATTTAGATTTTTTTAAAGCATAAATAAAAATTATGATTTTGAAATTTTCTTTTTAAAAATCAAAAATGTCTTCTTTTAAAAAACCTAAAATTTTCCTTAATGTTGCAGATTCAAAATTTTCTATTAGATTTTAAAATACAAATCTAAAATTAAATTTTAGATTTTTTCTTTGACTGCAGTGAAATTCCTTAAAAAAAACAGAGGTTGAAGTCGATGAAGTGAATTTCATCAGATTTCAAGTCGAATAGACTTCACATCATCAACTTCGACCCTCAACTTAATATTCTCGCGGGAAATTTATTCAAATTATTTTCTTGAGACAATTGCAATGCTTAACATTTAAATATGCGACAAATTAAGTAATGAGAATTTTTTTTCATATCCAACAGGGAATTTTACTACATTCAAATGGAGAAATATGCACGTCAGAATGTTACAGAAGGTGTCAAATGTGTCGAAGATATTCATATAAGTGGCGATAGTGAAATCTATCGTGTACTTAATCTTCATTACAACCGTAATAATCACATTGAGGTAAGATCACAATAAAAGAGAGACAAAATCATGCAAAATATTTATCGTAAATTAATTAATTTCCAGGTACCGACAAATTTCCGTTTTGTGGTTGAGCAAACGCTCCGTGAATTTTTCCGCGCAATTCAAGGTGGAAAGGATACGGAGCAGTCATGGAAGAAGTCAATTTACAAAGTTATATCGCGCATGGATGATCCTGTACCAGAATATTTCAAATCACCCAACTTTCTAGAGCAATTGGAGTAAATGAATTGAAGCATTTTTGTCATAAAACAAGTTTTTTGTGGTTGTATGTAAATCAACTTAAAAATATATATATATTTTATGTAGATAATATGTATGTGGATTTGGGTGATTCATCGATGGATAAAATGACAAAAGAAACCCATCCAAAAAAAAAGAAATAAAGCTGAACAACAACAACATCAAATTACTACACGTTTATTTGTGTAATAAAGAAAAAGAAGCAAAACCATAACTGTTATTTAAATATCGTAAGCTACCAAAGATAAGAAATGAAGAAAAAAACATACAGAATAGACACTTTGTGGTTCCTGATATATAAACTTATTAACTAATCAACAAAAGAAGTTTTAAGAAGAAAAAAAAATTGAGAATTTTTAAGAGTTTTTTAAAAAAAATTGAGAACTTTTTTTGGTTTAAAAATTATTCATTTTCTCTTTCGACACAAAAACTCACGTTTTGGCATTTATTTCAATAATTTTTTAAAAAGAAATTATTTTATTGATTTTTCTTCACCGAAATTTGTGAATTAAAATCAAAATATATAATTTAAAGAAATTTTTTAAAAAGAAATTTAAGTTGCAACAGAAAAATACTGAAGAGCCTCAGCTCAGACGATATTTACTGTTGTATGAAATAAACAAAAAAAAAAATCTTCGGTCAAAGATGAAGATGATCATAATACTAATAAATGATAATCCCCAACCGCAACATAAGAAAAAAGAAAATAATAAGAAAAGTAAGAACAAAAAAAGAAGAAACGTCTTAAGAGAATAAATGAACATCCAAAGGATTAAAAGGAAAGAAAAGAAAGCCAACAAAAGAAGAAGATCAAAGTAAACTGCAATAAATATATCTCTCTATCTCAATTTTTTTTTGGCCAGATAATAGAAAAAGAAAATAAATCTTTAGTTGATAAGAAGCACCAAGAAGTTTGAGAATTTTTTTTAAAAAAAAACCAAAAAAGTAACAAATTTCTCAAATATAAGCGAGTTGCTTCAAAGAATGACAGCAAAGCTGTCGCTTTTTCGACCAACTCATCATGTGATTTGTGTAATTTTCTAATTGGTTAAGATGACAAAAAAATAATAATAAAAATATTAGGATAGAAAACATTCCAAAAAAAAAATAAATAATTTATTGCTAAAATTTGTAATAATTGATTCATAAATGAAAAAAAAAATGTGGAAATAATAATGTTTATGATTTATCGTGGGAAGAAATAATCGACTTTTCAAATTAGTTTTAATAAAAAAATATATAGCGGGGATTTAATTTTTAATTATAATTTAAATATTCATTTCAAGAAGTTTTACCAAAAATTGTAATTTTTAATTTTAAAAATCAGTGAGCTAGTGACTTGTTACTTCATGGTCACTTTATGGCTAATTATAGCTTTAAATTGAAGGAATAGTAAACTAATCTCACTGAAAATCATTTAATTTTATGTAAATAATATTTTAAAATTATTTTTATGTTAATATTTTTCGCAAAATTGAATGAAAAAATGACACATTGCATTGAATCTAGTTTTTTGGGACACTTTAATGACAACCAACGAAGAATCCTGAACAAAAAAATGTTGGCCGTTTTTAAAGTGTCGCCACATCTACACACATTAGATAATTAGGAGAAAATATTATTATTAAATTTATTATTATTATTTATGATTATAAATAAAATTTTAAAAAAATGATGCTCGACTTTTTTCGAATGTCATTTTTTAAAAAAATTCAAAATAAGATAAAAAATTTTTTGTTTCTTTATTTTTTATGAGAATTTTTCAGTTTTTGATTTTATTTTAAATTTTATGTTGAGTTTTATTTTAACTTTTTGAATGTTTGATGATGGAAAGGAATCTTATAAGATAATTTTAATAAAGCCGTATTAAACGGTTTCTAATAAGAATTAATGGAAAACTCTTATAAGATTCAATTTAATGTTTCCAATATGACCAGAGTTGGTTTTTTTTGAGTTCATTACATTCTGAAAAATTGAGATTTATTTTCTTTTGAAGCTAGTCAACCTCAAAGTCCAACAAAACTACAATTTCTGACCATCAAGCATCCAAAAAATTCTTATTTTCTCATTTTATTTGTTACATCAATGATCTTCCTTTTCGTTTATGACATTTTATGCAGCGAGGAATCCCAAAAGTTATTTTCAAAAAAAATTCTTAAACTAAAACACAAAAGCGAAAAAAGTCTTTTAATTTTAGCTCAAAATTTACAGAAAAAAAGTCGATGAAGAAAAAAACCATTCAACATTAAAAAATTTCATATAATAAAAAAAAGTTATCATGCCTTCGAAATTAAACGACAAATGTAACTGAAATTGTGATATTAAAAAAATTTAAAAAAAAGAAATGAAAAAGTAAAAATGGAGAAATTTTTTTGATTTGGTGTGGTGATGATTTTGGAGGTTTTTTCATGACTTTTTGAGAGGATTTTTATCAAAAGTGTTAATAAATTTTTTGGCATAAATAAAATTAAAATTTTTACTTATTTTTCGGCGGGAAAGTTCTTTGGGAAAGTTTGAGAAAGTAAAATGTGAGAGGAAAGTGTGTAATTTTTGAATTATTTAAATAAAACTAAAATATTAAATCACAAATAATTTGAATATTCAAGAACTTAACTTTAGATTTTTTAATTTGAAAAAATCTTGATTTCTAAAATTTGTAAAGAATTTTGAAAAATTAGAAAATAATCAATTAAATGAGAATGAAATTCAATGAGTTTTGTTTCAAAATTTCAAAGATTTAAAATCATTTTTTTAAACTTTAAAATTTTAAAAAATTGATTATTCAAAATTAAAAAAAAAATCTCACTTTCTGCTTACCAAAAATCTAATCATCACCACGACCAAATTCAAATAGTGAAAATATAAAAATTTTGGAAATGAAAAAACTAAAAGCTAAAGAAAAAAGTATTTCAAAAATACAAAATAATGAAAATAAAATGTTTTGGTATATATTTAGGCAGTGATTAAAAAGAAGCAAGAGAACACGAGGAGGAACTGATTTCTGGAACCTCGCAGTCAACCTCCTCATAAACAAGACAAACATTTCTGTACAAATTTTTTTAATTGCTGTTTTCAAAAAGAAAATGAAAAAAATCTTTGAATTCAGCAATTGAAGACAAAACTTTAATGAAATAAAAAAATAATCGTTTCGGTCTTAATGAAAACATTTAGATATTTACTTAAGGATATGATAAAAAAAAACGTTTAGGAACTTTTAACTTTTTGGCATTAATTAATATTTAAAAATTTAAAAAAAATCGTTTAGGCAAAATTTGTTTTAATTTTCAAAATTCATGTTTTGGATAAAGAAAAAAAAAGTTTATAAAAAAAATTGTGTTTTGATGTGACAAAATCGCGCTCATAAAAGTTCACAAACACTTTTTGTTGAATTATTATTGTGATTGTTTTATTTAATTATTTTCTCATCTCGCAATCATTTTTAATTAATTTTTTAAACCCGCTACTTGTTATTCTTTAAACATAAAGAAATGAAAAGTAAAAAATATTTAAGAAAAAATGAAAATTTAAATTTAATGAAAAAAGATTATAAATAAAAGCTCTTGTGTTTTGTGTTTGTTCGTGAAGAGCTTTTTGCGTGGTGAAAAAAATTAAGAGAAAAATGTTTAAACTTTTGTTTTAAAAAAAATTGTGGAATTTTTTGAAACTTTGAAGATGGTAAATTTGAAAGATTTTTTAAGCTTATATTTAAATTTTTGAATGAAAATCAATTAAAGATGTAAAATTTAATAAAAAAAATTAATTTGAAAAGTATAAAAATTAAAACAATTAAATTTTGAAAAATCTTTCAAATTTAATTATTTTCTGCATAAATTGTATAAAAATAAAATTTCAAAAAATTTCGTAAAGCAAAATAATGAAAAGAGTATTTTATAAAAGAAAGAAAATTAAAAAAATTTGTGGAAAAAATATGTTTAGAGATGAAGAAAAGTAAATAATATTAAGTGAAATTTTTTCAGTTACAAATTTTTTCTCATACGATAAGAATCTTTCGATAAAATGACGAATAATTATCAACAAAAAAAATTACACTCCCACGAATATTTTAGGCACAACATAAATTATGAATCACATAATTAAAAAAATCAAATAGTTAATAAATTTCCTTAAAAAAAATATGAATGCAATAGCCCAGTGATGTATAGAATGTTACTTTCATAACACAATAATTTTTTAATTTTTTTAAAAATAAAATACAAAACTTTCTGATAAAGTTTCAATGAGCAAATATTTAGTACAAGACGATAGTAGAAAATGGCACAAGAGATATATAAAATGGCAGTAATTCAATGTCAGTCTCACGTGTTCGAAGTTTTAAGAGATATTAATTTCAACATCCTCAGTTGTAATATTAACCACAAAATACATGCAATAGTAATAGAAATTAAAATTATTAAGATGTCTGAATTGATGAAAATTAATAGAATTAATTGTTTGGTATTGAGATTTCTGACCAATATTCCGACGAAAATTCATATTAATTATTGTAAATTTATTATAAAATTAAGAAAATAAAATTTTAAATTTAACGATTTTTCATAAATTTGGACATCACCAAATGAACTTTGATGAAAATGACTTTTTTCATTTAACTCCAGCAACTAAAATCTTTGAGAATCAAAAATCGAATGCCCACTAATCTTGCGGCTTATTAAAAAATTCAAAAATATAGCAGACAAAATACAGAAATTTGCGGATTTTCTTCCATCAACAAGCATTTTTTAACTGTTCAAAATTTTTGTTGTTGAAAAAATTTAAAGCTCCACATCCTTTGAAGTTTCAAAATTTTTTTACAGTAACAAAGTAAACAAAAACAATAAAAAAAAAATGGAAAAATGCATTAAAATGATAAAAGAAAATTCCTGCAACTGTGAAATAAAGTTGAAATTAAAGTCCTTTCATCAATTTTCATCAATAACTGGATTAAGTTTTTTTTAAATGTGAAAAAAATAAAATTCAACAGAAAATTTATTAACTAAATGTGAAAAATGAGAAAAATGAAGAAAAATATTTTCATAAATTTAAAGACATATCAAGCAATAATAAATGAAAAAAAATCACAGTTGATTGAATGATGGAAAGCTGACACTTTAGTCAGACACTCAACTGTTGAAAATCTTATCTAAATTAAATTTTAAAAAAATCGTCAAAAATCAATTGCAGTTTACAAAAATCCGAACACACATAAATATCCAAATGTATTTTAATCAATAGAGCAGGAAAGAATATGAATGTTTAAATAAAATGTATAACCAGGAAACAAAACAAAAAAGCCACAAAAATGCAATAGAAATATCTAATTTGTTCTTTAAGTTGTCAATCCATCAAATACAAACAACAATAGTAACAAATTGAAGCAGTTTAATGTAGTTTTTGGAGGTTTGATGGAATTTTTGAAGAGGTGATTGAATTAGTTAACTGTAAGCAACTTGAAACTTATTGAGTAAGTTTGATAAAATATAGAAATCGCAAACTATCGACTAGGTTGGAAAATCACCAAATGTCAGTACACGATGAAATGAACGACAGTGGCATACTAAGTTGGAAGAAATTCAAAGTTCGATTCTTTTTTCAACCGTAATGGATAAATATTTAAAGGATTCTACTTTTTTCACTTTTTCGATGCCACATGTAATGTAAGATTGAAATTTAATTAACCTTAAAACTGACCAACCAGTTTAATTAATAGTTTCTTATTAAGAATCATTAAAATTTGTCTAATAATTAATTTAAAGTTTTTTCGCTGAAAATTTGATTCAGCTTTGATTTTAAAAATCCTTGAGAATCCACAATCAACTGAAAATAGAAACAAAAACCAATAAAAATGGATTAAAACTTAATCTCCAATATAATGAATTAAATCTTAACTAATTCCAAATCACCAACTTAATCCAAAAAAAAAGTCAACTCCTCTAAAAATCACAAAAATAATTGCCATTTAAATAACAGACAAAAAATAACAAATCAGCTCCAAGAAAAATGAAATTCAAACAGAGCAACAAAATAAATTCAAATCCAATTAAAATAGAAATGAAAACAAAAATTACAGGATCACAAATAAAATCACAAACAAAACTAATCGGTAACCGGCAAGACACACACGCGTGTCAACATTATCACTAATCAATAAAACTAATCACAATCAATCAGATATCACAGGTCACAATATAATAAAACTGATTAAAAATAAAAATAATATGAAGAATTGTCACATAAACAAAAAAATATGAAAAAAGTAAAACTACAATTGCAATAGAACCAAAAAATATTGTAAACTTTTATTTTCATAGTCAAACTTTTGATTTAAAAAAAAACAAAAGATGAATGAAAAGAAAAATATGTTGCTTGAAAAATATTTCTCAACATGAAGCGAAAAAGCAAAAAATAAATCATTTTTAACATGCGGAGAGTGAAAAATATCATGAAAATTTTCGAATGGAAAAAAAATCATTTAAAAATAAACTTAAAAAAATCCATAAACTTATCGTTGTGTATAAAACCCAGAGAATAATCAATAGTTAAGAGTCACAGAGTTAGATATTAAGTCAAATTGATGTCATAGTTAATAATTGCATAAAACTTTCAATTTTTATTGAGGGAAATGAAAAACTTTCATAAAACTATCAACATTTA